CTTGTTTGTGTGATAATAAATGTAACATGTTGTTTGTCATAGGGACTTTATATGTGCATTCATGCCCCTCTGGTTACAAAAATTGATAATGCTATTGGTTGTGTTACTCCCCTTGTTATAATCACAATTCTTCTTGAAGAAAGAATTCATGATTCAATGTCAAATCCATTGATTAACTCAAAGTGTCAAACTGTTCCTAGAATTTAGAAGGTGGTCATAATCCATTGATCAAGAATTAACTCTGTTCATCAAGTTGCTACTTTCCACAAATTTTAGGGGAGAGGGTGGGGCTTACCACAAGGTCCACAACCTTCGTACTCATAGACTTCACTTCAGATATTGGAAGGTGAAGGTGAAAACACTCGCACCTACTTGTAAGTTGTAACCAAACGATACATACAACTATAACTAACATTCATAGAATGTGGGCTAAACAAATCCTCTTACCAAAGAATCAATCATCTGCCCATTTTAGTTAAACACAGTTAGAGAGACTAAGGCCCTCCCATGCATACGATTATTTGCCATTTTCCTTAAAAATCTTGCATCCCACTAAAGTAGCTACTTCAAAGGCCATAATTAGGTCTTTTTAGCAACAAAAAAACATGTAACGATTCCATCCCATCCTTCTTAAATGACTTAAAACTGTTCCTATTTTATTTATGAAAGGAGGGCAAAATGAGTAATATCAGTCAATTGACAGTTTGACACATAGCAAACAATTTAATAACGAGAAGAAAAAGAACTAAGTTCATTCTTCTCGTGTTTTTTTTTTAATTTGTCATTTGTTTTCTATTTTTTTTCTTTGGTTTTCTATCAAATTCATCTTTTCTTTCCAATTGATACTTTTCAACCAAAGAAATTTCTTTTACGAGTGATTCTTCGATTTCTTTTTTAAACGATTAGAAGTGTGACATGAATCAAATACACGTGATATAAAAAGTATATTCAATTTAAAACTTTTAACTAAAAGCATATTCAAACCCATCTTTTCTTTTTCTAAACACGTGTTCAAATACATGTGACATAGAAAGCATTCAATTTAAAACTTTTTAATTAAGAACATACTGGTCATACTAAGCTAAGCAACATCCAAATCAATTTTTAATTCATTTTATTAAATCAGAATGTAATAACTTACTGGTGTAAATTTTTTCAAGTGAAAGATGAATCATATTCACCTATTTAATTGAAATCAACTGCAAAATATGGAAGAGTAGAAATTATTTTATATAACTCCATTGTTATCTTTTTAATTTCATTTATATGATAAAATATGAAATGTTTCAGTACTTTAAAATCTACTTGTTTTAAGTAACACTATATATTTTAAATGTAATATGGATTACGAAATATTTCACTACTTTCATCAGCTGTTTTTATGATTTGTAATTTTGAATTAATTAGGACTATGTGAAAAATGTTACATTGTATACAGGAAGAGATTGTAGAGAGAGGGCAAATATTTTGGAGTATATAATCTAAGCATAGGTATTACACACATCACACACCCACATCCATGCCCGCGTGCACGCACAGACAACCCTTACATAAAGAACGAGAAAAAAGAACCTCCAATACGTAATTTTAATTTTACCCTTTCAATTATATTATAGTGGAAAAGAGGGTATTTCCTCCCTTTTCCTTCAAATTTTCTTATACCTGGTTTTTCTTTAAAGATGGTAACAGATAGATTAAAAATATTTTATTGTTCTGTAGCCTACTATTTTTATATTTTGCAATTTTAATTTTATAAGGGTGTATGTCAAAAATACCGCTACTTCCCTTGCTTCCCACATTTTCAGTGTCTGCCCCTCTAATATTTCCAGCACTTGAAAGTGCAAATAAAGTAGATTTTCAAATGTATTACGTTATGATCTCTTAATCAATGTTTGGTATCTGTGCCCTTCACCGCTTCTGGGATCACTTGAAAACTTTTTCTGCATATAAAATAAATTTTCAAATATTTTATGGTGCCTGACTTTTCTTTTACTAATGCTAGCCGTGTGGAGACTTTTAGGATGTAGACACGATGTAGGATGGATTGCTAACATTATTTAAGGTTTTGGTCATTATTTTCTTTTAAAATCATTGGACACAAGGAAGAAAAAGAGATGAAGACAATGACCATAACAATAGATGGCTTTAAGTCCTAAGCAATTTTCTCCCTCCTCCTATGCATGTTGACAACAAACCTGCAGTGTGTGTTACTTACGTTACATAAGGTTATGGTAACATCCCGTCGTCGTTTTCTTTTAAGATCTCATTGGACAAAAAGAAGAAAAAAAAAGATACAGCCAATGACCATAACAATAGAGGCCGTTAAGTCCTCAACAATTCTCTCCCTCCTATGCATGTTAGCAACAAACCTGCAGGATGGGTTGCTACCATATAAAACAATAGATGTCCTTTAAGTCCTAAGCAATTTTCTCCCTCCTCCTTTGCATGTTGGCAATGAACCTGCAGCCTAATTAAGGTAAGTGACACCAAAATGAAGATCTTGCCAAAAAAGACGCCCCTAACTAAAGTAACAACTAATTAATAGAGGTAGAGTAAGGGTAAAGTCCACAAAATCCTGCAGTCCGTGCATTGGTCATAGGGGTGTGATTGCGAATGATATTGGATATGTTGATTCCAAGCTTGCAATTACATTTGCTAGAAATCATGTTAATAAAGGGAGATGTAGCACTGAACATATGTGGTCTAGACTAACAGGCCTTCATATTGTACTAAGTTCACTGGATAATCTGAATCTTAGGTCAGTAAGCTGATTATATCTAGTTTGGATTCCAGTTACAGCTTATTCATTTAAGAAGAAGAAACTTTACAAGAACTTTTCCTTAATGGAGCTTGTCGCATGTCTTACAGTCGATAGTTCAGGAAGGAAGGGACTCGAGAGTCTGTTGTAATAGTCAATGATAAAATTTTAAACACTGAAGAGGATTGTTAGTCAATGATTTAAACTTTAGCTGAAGAGGATCTCTAGTTCAGCGAGCAAGGCACTTGAGAATCTGTGGTAATAGTCAATGATAAATTTTAAACAGTGAAAAGGATGGATAGTAGGATTGTTAGTCAATGGTAAGATTTTAAACTTAACTGAAGAGGATAGGAAGTTCAGCCAGGAAGGGACTTGAGAATCTGTTATATTAATCAACGATAAAATTTTAAACACTGAAGAGGATTGTCAGTCAATGATAAGATTTTAACTTTAACTGAAGAGGACCGTTAGTAGGATGGCGAAGGATGTGTTTTTATTTAGTCTTGTACTCAAGTATATTGAAATCCAAGACCAAGTACAATTACCAATGTATTTATAATATTTCTTCTTGGTGACCTCAAAAAAAACATTTATGCGTTGTAACCACGTTATAATTTGAATATGAAAGTTAACAGGAAACAAAACAAGATCATGATAATAAATACTAATTCACAAACCGCAGAAATAAAGAAAAGGAGAAAGCTTACAAAGAAATGAGAATATACCTAGGAGGTATTTAAACTAGTTTAATTTAATACAAGCAACATGAAGCTCATCAAATAAAGGATTTTGGATCCTATCCACTAAATAAAAAAAGTTTTAAATTAATGGATAGTTACCTGTGGTGACAAGCAATGCACTTGGTTTCCTACTTCAATAAAGAATAGATTCAAGCTGCGACCAAGACAAGGGAGATTCAAAGCACAGAGCAGCAGCTTTCAAGCCTGTCAAGATAACCATCTGATTGTTATATTTGACAATCTTCCTCATGTGAAAATGCTAATGAAATATTCATTAAGCAAAAGATTCTGCACTGAACTGCTTAAACAAAATTTCAGACTACTGAGAACAACAGGCTAGTTGCAAACCTAGTTTTGATATGCAACATATCAGTCCAAACGTGATTTCATACTCAGAGCCAAGAAAGTATACAAAATTCAAATTAAGGTGAATCGGATTTTTTTCCTTTTTTTAATTGATTGTATTTTTTATTTTTTGAAGAAAAAATATTTTCATCTTCTCATAAATTCCAAAGTAATAGATGACCCCTTATAAACTTTTTAACTCTTGAAGCCCCTCTCTTACTTGAACAAAGCCATAAAAATAATAAGGGATACTTGCCAAAACATGCCTGTTCTATGGGGCGTTGGTCATCTGTTACACCTGAATTTTTTATTAGCACATACTCGGACTGACCTTTTTTTCTCACTTCTTTACCATAGCAGAGTCCTTCAAAAATATAAATTATCTTTTTATGCCTCCCTCCCTCTTTCTCACCCACCCCTATACCTAATTTCATAAATTCACTTATTTCTTTACAACAAGTGATGAATAGATCATTTGAGTATTCATTTTTGTACATCTTTTCTTAGGCCTGTTCAATAGGTTTTGCAAGTGTAAGATTTATGAGAAAATATTTGGCTTTTAAGATTATATTTATTTATTCACTTTTCTAAATTACCTTGTCATATCCTCTACAAATTATATCCTAAACCATTTTAAACAGAAGGATTCTCATCTCTAAGCATGTGGCCCCTTTAACTAATGCTATGACGCCTGCGTAGGTAATTATTGGCAAAGGAAAAATGAGAAAAGAAAATATAACCAAAAAGTCTCGCGTAGATAGTTTGCATTTTAGCCGTCAATTATAATAGACAAGCGGGCATGTCCTGACTTCCTTCAACTTTTCTTATACATTGTGTTTTCTTCATAGATAGTTAGAAACAGATTAAGAATATTTTATTTTATTTCAAATCTAAGTCTTTTATAAGGGTGTGCGTGTAAACTACTGCTCTTCTGTACCTCCCACATTTTTGGGCCTCCTCCAAGGTTTCTTACACTTGAAATATTCTGCAAGAAGAATTAAATGTTTAATGGTGGCTGAGACATGACTCCTCTTTTTCCTAATGTTACCCTTTTGAAGACTTCTGGGGTGTAGACACAACATAGCATGGGTTGCTAACATTATTTAAGGTTTCGTTGTTCTCTTCTACGTCTAAGATCATTGAACAACAGAAAAAAGATGAAGGCAACCACCACAACTATAGAAGATGTCAAGTCCTATCTAGTTCTCTCCCTCCTCTCGTGTCTATGCCTGTGGCTCATCTCCCTCATCACTCTCCATTGGCGAAGAACCAGAAATGTGCATCTCCCCCCAAGTCCAATGGCCATTCCAATAATCGGTCATCTCCATCTATTGGGCCTCATCCCCCACCAAGCTCTCCACAAGCTTTCCCTCTGCTATGGCCCCCTCATCTCCATCCGTTTAGGATCCCACCTATGCGTCGTGGCTTCATCACCAGAAACTGCAAAAGAGTTCCTCAAGACTCATGAACTCTCCTTCTCTGACAAGCCCCCCTCAAAAGTTGCTTCCTACCTCACCTATGGCTCTGCTGACTTTGCATTTGCCCCATATAGCTCCTACTGGAGGTATATAATAGTATTAAAAATCTGTCCAGTCAAATTTAATGTTACAACAGAGTGTGTACGCCTAACGAATTATTAATTATCTTCTTTTATTTCTCTAATAGGTACATGAAGAAGTTGACCATGACACAACTGTTAGGGGGGCAAACACTTGAACAACTGCTACCTGTGAGGCGCCAGGAGATTATAAGGCTTATGAAAAAGTTGTTTGAGATATCGGAGAAGGGAGAGGATATCAATATGAGTGCAGAGCTATCGAAATTGACAAACAACGTGATATGCAGGATGGCAATGAGTCGAACATGCACAAAAAATGATTTTGAAGCAGAGGAGGCACGAAAGATCGTAGAAGAGATGACTGAGCTGGCAGGGAAATTTAACTTGGCAGATTTTGTAGGATTTTGCAAAAACTTGGACTTCCAAGGTTTTGATAAGAGACTGGAGGATTTGCTTAAGAGGTTTGATAAGATGATGGAGGGGATAATGAAGGAAAAGCAGGAGGAGAGGCAAAAAGAAAGAGATACTTCCCAAGAAATAGCAAAAGATTTGCTTGATATAATGCTTGATATAGCTTCTGATGATGATGCAGAGATGAAGCTGACAAGAGAAAACATCAAAGCTTTCATTCAGGTAAAACCATGATAACAATTGTCTATAATTTATTATGATATATAACAAACCTTATCTTGCTAAAAATTCTGTGACGTAAATATATTATCATAACGTATGCAAAAGAACCCATGTAGCAACCACAATGAGAAAGTCTCTGACAAGGTAGAATAGCAGAATTTATAAAAGATAAAAACTGCACAAGAATTGATGAGGATCAACTTACAGAGCAATGATCTTTTCCAGATTGGTTTAGGCTTCCAGATCCCAACATGCAGAAATAAATGAAAGTTTGTCACTTTTTCCTTCAACAATTAACTATAGTAAAATTGTAATGTAAACCTTGTACAGAATTATTCTTGTATTTTGAGCAATTATCTACATCTGACAAATTAGAAATTTTAAAAGATTGTACAAAAATACGTTTGTTTCTAATTTTGAAAGCTTACACGCTATGACAAAAGACTTAGTTACTTAGTTGTCAATGTTGCACAGAATGTCTTTGTGGGTGGCACTGATACTTCAGCAACCACGATAGTGTGGGCATTGGCAGAACTCATCAACCAACCAACCATACTCTGGAAGGCTAGAGATGAAATTAACACAGTCGTTGGCATGAACAGGTTAGTCAAAGAATCCGACATCCCAAACCTCCCATATCTCCAAGCTGTTGTAAAGGAAACACTGAGGCTTCATCCAGCAATCCCAATGATCATCCGCGAATCAAATGAACACTGTAAGATTAATGGCTATGACATCCCTGCAAAAACAAGGCTTTTGGTCAATGTATGGGCCATCGGAAGGGATCCAAATCACTGGTCCAAGCCACTTGACTTCAAACCGGAAAGGTTTATCGAAATTGGAAAGGGGCTGGATGTTAGAGGCCAACACTTCCACTTGTTGCCATTTGGCAGTGGTCGGAGAGGTTGTCCAGGCACAACATTAGCCTTGCAAGTTACACAACCAATGCTCGCTGCCATGATACAGTGCTTTGATTGGAAGGTCAATAATGGTCATGGGATGGTCGACATGACAGAGGGGCCAGGATTCACGTTGCCTCGAGCTAAACCATTGATATGCAGGCCTGTTGCTATTCTGAGCCAGATGCCTATTGCTTGATAAGAGTGGGGTTAGCTAATTACTGGGTTAATAAGGACCAAACTTGTTTAAGGTTGTGTGAGAATAAATGTAGCACGTGGTTTGTCCATGGAACTTTATTATGTGAATGCTACTGATTTAGTTACTTCTCCCTGTTAGAATCACAATTCTTCTTTAAGGTTACATGTCCAAGCTATTGATGAAGAGCTAACTTGAAAGTGTGAACCAGTTCCTAGAATTTAGAAGGTAGTAAACATAACTTAGGGGAGAGGTTGACACCTACACCAATTAAAACAAGGGATGATTGGCATGCCTCTACTTTCCTCTCACTTTAGGGAAGAGGTTTGGGCTTATCACCGCCTTCTTATAATACCTTTCACTTCAAATAATGCACTATTGGAAGATGAAGATACATATAACTACTAGTAACCAAAGGATACGTACAGTTATATCTGGCATGTATAGCATGCATGTCATCCAAACAAATCCTCTTACCAATTAACTAGTAACCAAAAGATATGTGCTGCAAAGGCTCCATCATCTGTGCCATCTTATGGCAACAGACATACAGTTACTAAACCATCCATATTTCAACCTGTCCATTTTCCTTACAAATGTTACATCGAAGCTTTAGAGCATACTAATCACGAGCTGGAGATCCAACATAATGCAAGCAGATGGTAATAGTTTTGAAGTACTTCTGCAAGAAACATTTAACAATTCCATCTCACTACTAACTGCTCTATGCAAAACTATGATGTTCAACATTTTTTTTTCCCATTTTCACAAAAATCATGTAGAAGCTGAAATGTGGATACAGTATCCTTATAATTGCTCATATGAATGATCAATCTGTTTACTCTATCTACATTTGTTGCTTCAACATGGTTTCATGAAAATTGGAAAGACACAGTGACAAAGAGACTGGAGAAAACTGATTTGCGGCAAAAGGTAGGGACTAAAGAACCACTTGTATGCTCCAATGATTCCATCAATACAAAGACAAATAGACTATATCCCTCCAATATTTCTCACCTCCTCTTTTTCATGCATAAATAACTAATCAACCAAAGTAGTCATACTGAAATCTTTAATTCAATCAATTCATGCCTTTCACAAGAATATATCAAATCAAGCACAGATTCTCAAAATCATAGGTTAGATAGTCATGATTTCATTAATCCAGAAATATAGATGGTCATATACATGTTTATAAGTATTAAAATCAATAATTTACATAAGATCAATAGTGTTTTTTCATTTACAGAAGATCAATATATAATATATAAGAAATAGATGTGAAGTGTAGAATATATGTTCAAGAAGTGTATGAATGTTTCAAATTAAAACATATATTATACAACCGAGTGTATGCCTGAATAAACTTATGCACGTATTCAAGAAGTGTCCACGAATCTTCAGTACAGGTACAGATAATGTCTGGTATAGATACAGCTTCCGATAAAAGTATCCAAGTAACGTAGATGAGCAATGATAAAATTTAAACACATAAGAGGATTGTTAGTAGGATTGTTAGTTAATGATAAGATTTGAAATTTTAACTGAAGAGGATTGATACTTCAGCAAGGGACTTGAGAATCTGTTGTGATAGTCAATGATAAAATTTTAAACACTGAAGGACCATTAGTCAACGATAAGATTTTAAACTTTAACTGAAGAGGGCCGCAAGTAGGATAGCCAAGGATGTATTTATCTCGTCTTTCCGTCACATATATTAAAGTGAAGACCAAGGAAAAGTACCAATTGCATTTACAATCTTTCTCCTTGCTGACCTCAAGGAAAACACTTCTTTGTTGTAACTACAGTCGAATTCGAATATGAAAAATTAACAGAGAAAAAAAACAAGATCATGATAACATTACTAATGCACAAACCGCAGAAATAAACAAAAGGAGAAAAGTACAGGCATTTACAATCCATTTTTGTAGAACTTTTCTTAGGGCTGTTCAATAGGTTTTTGAAGTGTAAGAATTAAGTTTTAGAAATGAGTAAATATTTGGCTTTTAAATTTATATTTATTTATTCACTTTTCTAAACTACCTTTTCATATCCTCTGCAAATTATATCTTAAACCATTTTAAATAGGAGGATTCTCATCCCTCAGTATGCGGGTACTTTAACTAAAGTTATGACTCCTATGTAGGTACTCCTTAGCACAGAAAAATGAGAAAATAAAAGATTAAAAAAAATCTCGTGCAAATAGTTCACATTAGGTTTCAATTATAATAAATAAGACGGCATGTCCTCTCTTTGTTGTTATTTAGAAGGAGATAGACAAAGAGAGTAGAACTAAAAACGGGAATATTTTATTGATCGTAAAAATGCAAAATAAATACACAATGACCCTTAACTGAATTCCTTTTTTTTTTTTTTTTTGCTACTAACAGGGACACGTTCCTAGGCACTTGACCTGAAAAACAGCAACTAACCTCCTAAAAAATAGAGATAACAGCTAGTGCTCCTAAAGACTAGGACCTTCATAAAACAGAACAGAAGACAAGAGTAAAACAGTAGCTCTTAATTCACTAACATTCTCCTCCTGAATTTTGAGCTGCACGTATACCTGACTTGTCCCTAAGAGTCTCAAAACGACCGACATGAAATGACTTTGTGAATATGTCTGCTAGTTGATTTTCTGAATTGTAATACACCAGGTTCACTTCACCTGATCTCTGAACCTCCCTTAAGAAGTAATACGTAACTTTGAAATGTTTTGTTCTTCCATGAAAGACCGGATTCTGTGAGATGACCAGAGTGGCCTGATTTTCCACAAAGATCTCTATGTTATCATCTTGATGCACATGCAAATCATCCATCAGCTTCTTCAACCATATTGCTTGATTTGCAGCTGCAATTGCTGCAATGAACTCAGCTTCTGCAGTTGATTGAGCCACCAGCTCTTACTTCTTTGAACACCAAGAGAAACATCCTGACCTAAATGTGAAGCAATAGCCAGAAGTGCTTCTAATGTCTTCTACTGATCCAGCCCAATCACTATCAGAATAACCCTGCAACTTAAAATCCTAAACTTTGCAGAACTTAATCTCATATGAGATAGTACCCTTCAAGTACCTCAGCACCCTCTTTGCAGCTACCATATGCAACTCACTTGCATAATTTAGAAATCTGGACAGGACACTTACAGGAAACATGATGTCTGATCTGGTTGTTGTGAGGTACATTAGGCAACCAATTAAGCTCCTGTAAAGACCTTCATCTGTAGGGTCAGCTCCATCATTCTTCTATAGTTTTTCTTTCTTACCCATTGGAGTACTCACACTCTTGCACTCCTCCATACCAAACCTCTTCAAGATCTCCTTCAAGTACTTCCTTTGACATATGAAGATCTCGTTTTGAGCTTGTTTGATCTCCATGCCAAGAAAGTAGGACATTTCACCTAAATCAGTCATTTTGAACATCTTCATCATATTCTGCTTGAACACAATGATCTGAGCCTCATTTCCTCCTATTACCAGCAAGTCATCCACATAGAGAGATACAATAATCAAGTCAGAATCCAACTTTTTAACATACAAAGTGGACTCACTTAGGCTCTTCTTAAAGCCTAGGCTCAGCAAATGTCCATCCATCTTGTTGTATCATGCTCTGGGTGCTTGCTTCAAGCCATACAGAGCCTTCTTCAGCACATAAACCTTCTCCTCCTGACCTGGTACAATGAATCCTTCTGGTTGTTCAACATAAATCTCTTCCTGCAACACTCCATTTAGGAATGCAGATTTGACATCTAACTGATACATTTTCCAACCCTTTTGAGCAGCTAAGGCAAGAACTAGTCTGATAATATCTAACCTTGCTACAAGTGCAAATGTTTCGGAGAAGTGTACTCCCAAACCTGTGCATAACCTTTTACTACTAACCTAGCCTTATGTTTGTTCTGAGCCATCAGGGTTGAGTTTAGTCCTGAAGACCCACTTCAGTCCAATGATCATCCAGTCTTTAGGCTTCTCCACCAACTCCCAGGTCTGATTTTTTTTTTTATCGTGGCCAACTCTTCTTTCATTGCACTCATCCATCTCTGATCATCTTTGGCTGCTTCAAAGCCTGTTGGCTCCAGAACAGCCACATTGCACCTCTGGTATATAAAGATCCGGTGCCTCTGACTGGAATGTCATCCACCAGTTCTTCTAATTCCAAGGACACCTTTTCTAGTTCATTCTGAGTGTCATTAGCCCAATTCCACTCTTCAACTTCTAAGAACTGAACATCCGTACCAGTGATTACCTTTCCATACTTTGGCTGATATTCTGTAGGCCTTTGACACAAGGTTGTAGCCAACAAATACTCCTGGTTCAGACTTCTTTTCCAGCTTGTCTCTCTTGACCTGTGGAATATAAGAGTAGCATAGACAGCCAAACACCTTCAAGTTTTTTAGAGTTGGCTTGAACCAAACAATGCTTCAAAGGGTGTCTTCTTCTCCAATGCCCTTGTAGGCAATCTATTCAGCAGAAAAACGGTTGTATTTGCTGCTTCTGCCTAAAGTTCCTTTGGTAAATTCTTCTCATGCAACAGACATCTGGTCATCTCCATAATGGTTCTATTTTTCCTCTCACTAACTCCATTTTGCTATGGAGAGTACCGGACAGTGAGCTGATGCTGGATTCCAGCTTCCTCACAAAAAGAGTTAAACCTCTGTGAAGTGTATTTTGTGCCATTATCAGATCTAATGACCTGAATGCTATAGCCACTTTGATTCTCAATCCATCTTTTAAACTTCAGAAACACTTCAGCAACTTCTAACTTTTGATTCATGAAGTAAATCCATCACATTCTTGTATAGTCATTAATGAAGATAATGAAATACTTGTTGTCACTTAGTGAAAGAGTTGCTTGTGGACCACAGAGATCTGTATGGATCAACTGTAGCCTCTCTGTAGCTCTCCAAGTTGACTCCTTGAAAGGAAGTCTGGCTTGCTTGCCCATCAAACAAGTTTTGCAGCTTGAGAGTTGCTCCTCCAGGTTTGGTAACCCTTTTGTCATCTCATTTTTTTACATGAACTGCAAGCCTTTATGGTGAAAATGCCCCAATCTTTTGTGCCATATCTCTAAATCATTGGTCTGACATTTGAATGCCACTTCCTTCTTTTCGAGAGGATTCAGAGAAAAACTTGTTTGCTGCATATTTATCTTGAACTCCTAGCCTCTAGAATCAAAGATCAAACATTTTCCTTCTTCAAATGTTACCTTAAATCCCTTTGCTACCAACTGCCCCACACTTAGCAGGTTCTAATCAATCTCAGGAACATACATTACATCAGAAATCAGCTTAATCCCTGCACAACTCTTCATAGCCACAGTCCCTCGACCCTCTACTGCTAAGTATTCTCCATTTCCGATTCTCACCCTTAATTTTATTGACTTATCAAGGTTTCTAAACAGTTTCTTATCACTTGTCATATGGTTTGTATAGCCACTATCAACAAGCCAACTGTCACATAGAGTGCTAGAAATGAAACAAGAGGCAACAAACAGCTGATCTACCTCTTGCTGGACTACAGCATGTGCTTCACCTTGCTGTTGATCTCCCTTCTCCTTGCAAAACTTATCAATGTGTCCTATTTTTTGACATCGCCTGCACCTTACATCTGGCCTTCTCCAACATCTAAAATAGGGATGATTCTTTTTACCACAGTGCTTGCATGGAGAATATCTTCCTCCTTTGTTTCCTGCATCCTGCAGCAACCTCTGATTTACTGTCACTTCCCTTCTTCCCTTTCCACTTCTTCTCTTTTCCTTCAGAGCTATGTTGCACTTTGGCCCTTAGAGCATCTTCAACACTTCCTTTCAACCTCCTCGACCTCCTTTGTTCAGGTGCTTGCAGAGCTCTGACCAATTCTGCTAGCTTGATCTGAGACAAGTCCCTGGTATTCTCCAATGAAGCAATGGTTGCCTCATACCTCTCAGGCAAAGAAACAAGGATCTTTTGCACCAACCTATTGTCAGAGAGGTCAGTGCCAAGCATTCTTTCCTTGTTTGCAATGACAATCAACTTGGTCGAATACTCTTTGATTGTCTCAGACTCTTTCATCTGCAATCTCTCAAACTCCCTGACCAAATTCAACACCTTCATGCTCTTGATCATTTCATCTCCTTGGTACTCTGCTTTGAGGAAGTCCCAGATTGTCTTAGTTGATTCACAAACCATAATTCTACTGAAAATGGCTGGTGGAACAGCAGCATACAGATAGGCTTTGGCCTTGGCTTTTCTAGTTTTCATCTCCTTGTGATTTTTGATTTGATTCAGGGTTAGATTGTCAGGAAGTGCAGCCACCTCATAGTCGTCTTCTACTGCTTCCCAGTAATCACAACCCTCCATGTAGGCTTGCATTTTTACTGCCCAAGCTTGATAGTTCTCCTTATCGAACATTGGTGGAGCCAAGACAGGAAGATTGCGCGAACGTGCTTCCATGTTCACTCAGCTTCTTTGAATGCAGACTCACCTCTCGATCACTCTCACAAGCTATTTCCGCAGCCCCTTAAGATCAAGGCAGCTCTGATATCACTGTTGTTATTTAGAAGGAGATAGACAAAGAGAGTAGAACTAAAAATGAGAATATTTTACTGATCGTAAAAATGCAAAATAAATACACAAGGACTCATAACTGAATTCTTTTTTTTTTTTTTTACTACTAATAGGGACACATTCCTAGACACTTACTTGACCTGAAAAACAGCAACTAACCTCCTGAAAAATAAAGATAACAGCTAGTGCTCCTAAAGACTAGGACTTTCATAAAACAGAACAGAAGACAAGAGTAAAATAACAGCTCTTAATTCACTAACACTCTTCCTTCAACTTTTCTTATACCCTATTTTTATTTCATAGGTAGTAACTCATAAAGGAAAATGTCAAGTGTACTACAAGAGTTGCACTACTCTTGTACTCCTGGACACAAAGAAGTGGGGATCATTGCAACTCATAATTTTCTTTTGTAAAATAAAAAGATCAATAACTATTTTACTTTTTTCAAATATAAATCTTTTATACTTTTGCAGCTTTGATATAAGAGTCTACATGTACTGCTCTTCTGTACCTCCAACATTTTTGGGCCTCCTCCAAGGTTTCTTTCACTTCAAATATTCTGCAAATGAACTAAATTTTAAATGTCTTGTGGTGGCTGCGACATGACTCCTTTTTTTTCTAATGTTACCCTTCCAAAGACTTTTAGGATGTAGACACAACGTAGCATGGGTTGCTAACATTATTTAAGGTTTAGTTGTTCTCTTCTGAGGTTACTGAACAGCAGAAAAAAGATGAAGGCAACCATCATAACCATAGAAGATGTCAAGTCCTATACAGTTCTGTCCGTCCTCTCGCGTCTATGCCTATGGCTCGTCTCCCTCATCACTCTCCATTGGCGACGAACCAGAAATGTGCATCTCCCCCCAAGTCCAATGGCCACTCCAATAATCGGTCATCTCCATCTATTGGGCCCCATCCCCCTCCAAGTTCTCCACAAGCTCTCCCTCTGCTACAGTCCCCTCATCTCCATCAGTTTAGGATTCCACCCCTGCATCGTGGCTTCATCACCAGAAACTGCCAAAGAATTCCTCAAGACTCGTGAACTCTCCTTCTCTGACAAGCCCCCATCAGAAGTTTCCTCCTACCTCACCTATGGCTCTGCTGACTTTGTGTTTGCCCCGTATAGCTCCTAGTAGAGGTATGTAATAGTGTTGAAAATCTGTCCAATCAAATTTAATGTTACAACAGTGTGTACGCCTCACGAATTATTAATTATTATGGAAAAAGTTGTTTGAGAAATTGGAGAAGGAAGAGGATATCAGTATGAGTGGAGAGCTATTGAAATTGACAAACAACATGATATGCACGATGGCAATGAGTCAAACATACACGAAAAGTGATTTTGAAGCAGAGGAGGCACAAAAGATCGCAGAAGAGATGACTGAGCTGGCAGGGAAATTTAACTTGGCAGATTTTGTAGGATTTCGCAAAAACTTGGACTTACAAGGTTTTGATAAGAGTCTGGAGGATATGCTTAAGAGGTTTGATAAGATGATGGAGGGGATAATGAAGGAAAAGGAGGAAAGACAAAAAGAAACTGACACTTCCCAAGAAAGAGCAAAAGATTTGCTTGATATATTGCTTGATATAGCTGATGATGATGATGCAGAGATGAAGCTGACAAGAGAAAACATCAAAGCTTTCATTCAGGTAAGAGAGAACAACAGTCTATAATTTTTATTATGCTATTAACAAACATTATCTTGCTAAAATTTTCTGATGGATATATATTATCATAACATATGCAAAAGAGCCTGTCTCATATACTTTGTTGCCCACACGTGACAACATATAGCAAACTCACCCATGTAGCAATCACAATGGAAAAAGTTCTGATAGCATATAGAATGAAGAGTAGATGAGAGACCAACCCCCACCCCACAACACCCCGTGCAGCTGATGACAGTAGTCTGAATACAAGAGATAAGTGTGCTAAAACACTTCGAGACATGGAAAAATAATTAGACTTCTATCAATGTAAAAAAAAGGACAGAGTCAAATTCCTAAGTATCTAAGCTGATCATCTAAAGGTAGATCCATGAAAGTAGGTCAAAACAGCGCATAATGGTTGTACATAAGTGGAGGCTACAATAGATAATAATAATAATTTTACAAAAATCCTACATCAAGGCAAACATTAGAATTAAAGTAATATTCACCAACTAAACTGTTACTTCTTAACAGCCAAAAGCTTGCAAAAGTAAATTGTTTTGTATATGTTTCATTTTATGAATATAGCTCTGGTACAAAAATTCTCAAACTGATCTGATGATCTCAACAGGGAAAAGAATGTCCTGGATATTAATAAAAAAATAGATTTATGCTGGAAATCAAGTTACAAATTTATAAAAGATAACTGCACAAGAATTGATGAGGATCAACTTACAGAGCAATGATCTTTTCCTCAGGTCCCCAACATGCAGAAATAAATAAAAGTTTGTCACTTTTTCCTTCAACAATTAACTATAGTAAAATTGTAATGTAAACCTTGTACGGAATTATTCCTAGATATCAAATAGTATTTAGTAGTTCAAACATTTAGCAATTATTTACATCTGACAAATTGGAAATTTTCAAAAGATTATACCAAAATACATTAGTTTCTAATGTTTGAAGGTTTATATCCTATAGCAAAAATTTGGTTACTTTTTCAATGTTGCACAGGATGTCTTTGTGGGAGGCATTGTTACTTCAGCAACCACAAGAGAGTGGGCATTGTCAGAACTCATCAACCAACCAACCATACTCCGGAAGGCTAGAGATGAAATTAACACAGTCCTTGCCATGAACAGACTAGTCAAAGACTCCAGCATCCCAAACCTCCCATATCTCCAAGCTGTTGTAAAGGAAACACTGAGGCTTCATCCAGCAATCCCAACGATCATCCACGAATCAAATGAACATTTTAAGATTAATGGCTATGATATCCCTGCAAAAACAAGGCTTTTGGTCAATGTATGGGCCATCGGAAGGGATCCAAATCACTGGTCCAAGCCACTTGACTTCAAACCAGAAAGGTTTATCGAAATTGCAAAGGGGCTGGATGTTAGAGGCCAATACTTCCACTTGTTGCCATTTGGCAGTGGTCGGAGAGGTTGTCCAGGCACAACATTAGCCTTGCAAGTTACACAACCAATGCTCGCTGCCGTGATACAATGCTTTGATTGGAAGGTCAATAGTGGTCATGGGATTGTCGACATAACAGAGGGGACAGGGTGTACATTGCCTCGATCTAAACAATTGATATGCAGGCCTGTTGCTATTCTGAGCCACATGCCACTTGCTTGATACAATCAGGGTTCAATAATTACTGGTTTAATAAGGATTCAAACTTGTTTTAGGTTTGTGTTGATGTTAATAATCAAACAGCTAATTAAGAGAGGGGTTAGGTTATCGGGAGTCCTCTAACTCCTCCAAATATTCAGTTCTGGAGCAAGCTGTTCTTATCTGCACATATAAGAACTCGTAAGAGGACGGAGTTGGGTTCTCCGCTTGTTCCTCCAACAATCAAGCCAACAAATCGCTTGAGTAAAGAAGAAAATGAACTCCAGAAATTCTTTAGCTCAAGGAGCAGGAAAATCGCTTACATTGGTGCTGAGAATAGTCCTCATATTTATAGTAATAGTAGAGGGGTGGTTTGGTAATTTCAGCTGAGTATAGGCGGGCAGCTGAGTCGGTATTTGCTTTACAAGTGTCGACTGCCCAGTGACAGGAGTCACTTCGGCATTTTATATGAAGTGACAGGAGGCCCATGGAGCCAACATGGTCTGATATGTTATAAAGACTTTTAAGAACGGAAAGATGATGATTTTGACTATGCATTTAATGTAATGGCAATCAGCTATCAGCGGGGAGACCAAGGTATGTCGTCGTCTTTCTACTCGTCAAGTAGAGAGCCCAGAAGTATCGCCTTTCGAGTCGGCTTCATGAGATGTCAGCCGAATAGGTGATCGTGTAAGTCGCTTGTGGAGTCGATCTAGCGAGGTCGACATGTAATGCTTTTTGAGCCAGCAACGCAAAATGTCAACCCTTCGAGTCGTATGAGCTGGGGACTTTTGATTATCTCGAAGTGGTGAACTAATTTAATAAGACAGTTAATGTGGACACTTGTCTGCTATTGAATGGAGATTATTATTCAATAATTAAAGCATTATAACAGTTGTGTGAGAATAAATGTAGCATGTGGCTTGTCTGCGGCACTTTATTATGTGAATGCTACTAGATTAGTTACCTCTTCTTGGTAGAATCACAATTCTTGAAGGTTACCCAATACCCATCCACTAATGATCAAGGGCTAAAATAAAAGTGTCAACCAGTTCCTAGAATTACAAGGTGGTAAACGTGACTTATGGGAGAGGTTGACACCTACACCAATTAAAACAAAGACTTATCAACAAGCCTCAATTTTCCTCCCCTTATGGGAGAGATATTAGAGCTTTTCACCGCCTTATTTTATAGATTTAACTTGAGATATCACCATACTAAAGATACATATAACTACTAGTAACCAAAGGATACATGTCTATATCTTACATGTATAGCTTCCCATTTTCGCACCAAAACATACATCTCTCAAAAACTTGCATCTTTAAAGGGTACCAATCAAGAGCAACAGATCCATCTCACTACCGATGTTTCAATTCCATCTCACTACTGAGCATTCTATGCAGAACTACATTTGATCAGATGATCACTCCCTGTATTATAGCTACTGAATGATTTTGACAAAATGGGAAAACCACAATGACAATGAGACTGAAGAAAACTGATTTGAGGCAGAAGATAGGGACTGAAGAACATCTTATACGCTCAAATATTCCTCAAATAACATGATCAAATAAACAGACTAATTAAATTAAATCAGTTCATAGCTTTCACCAGAATATATCAACTCAAGCACATATCTCAAAATCCTAGATCAGATGGTCACGATTTCATTAATCCGTAAGCGTTGACAGAACAAACCTAGCTACAAATTAAACAACGACAACAGAGATCAAGCAGGCACACAACCTCAAGCCCTCTCGCCGCGAATTCTCCTCGCCAGCTGAATATCTTTCGGCATGATCGTGACCCTCTTCGCGTGAATCGCGCAGAGATTCGTGTCCTCAAACAACCCAACCAAGTACGCCTCCGCCGCCTCCTGCAGCGCCGCCACCGCCGACGACTGGAATCTCAGATCCGTCTTGAAATCTTGGGCGATCTCCCTAACGAGTCTCTGGAAAGGGAGCTTCCGGATCAAAAGCTCGGTGCTTTTCTGGTACTTTCGGATCTCTCGGAGAGCGACGGTGCCGGGGCGGAACCGGTGAGGGCTGTTTCACGCGCCGCGGTCGCGCCGAGCGACTTGCGGGCGGCCTTTGTGTGCGCAGCCTGCTTCTTGCGCTTGGCCGCCGGTGGATTCTTGCGGTTTGCTTCGGTTCTCGCCATTTTCTAGGCTTTTGAGATTTGAGGGATTGCTCCGGTTGTTTGGATGTTAGGCATTTTGGGGATTTCGGGTGAAGTTTTATGGAGGAGCAGAGGTGAGAGCGGGAAAAGTTTTCGGGAGTTTGGAGTGAGATTTTGGACGTTTGCGATTTCTGGGAGGCATTGATAGGATGGAGATTTAGTTGGGTGCGAGCAAGTGGCATCGCGGATCTGCGCGCGTTAGCATGCGGAATGATATTGCGACCGTTGGAGTTGAAATGGCGATGGAATGGGATCACTGTAGATCGAGACAAGCGATCGGCGATGAGGGTTCACCCAGTTCATGTTAATTGGGGACCGTTCTGATTTTGAATGCAGTGACGACGGCATCTGATCTTGGGAGTGATAGACGCGGATCGCAAACTGGATTGGTGAAGGAGAACTTTTTAAACAGCCGCATTTTTCAATGTTTATTGTGCAAAGTCGCCGTCTCGAAATTAAATTACACAAAACAAAGCGAAAAGGGTCGATTTTGCAATTACGGACTGCACGGGACTAATAGTCCGTGCCAGTTCCGCTACCCGCACTACTCCGCTTTCTTTTCGTTCGTTTCTTCCTTCTTTCCTTCTGCGATCTGGCGTGACCACTCTCCCCGAAGAAAAAAAAACCTGCTGCCTCGTCGACCCGCGCGATCACCCCGCGATTCCGCCCCTTCGGTCACCGCCATGATGTTCCAGACGTCGCAATTGTAGTAGGCCATTTTCCGCGCCGCTCGACAATAGCTCTCGTGACTGAGCCTTCAACCCCCCAAAACCCTAGCCTTCAACTTCTGACTTCGACCCCTTCCCATTTGCAGTCGCGCCTAACCCTAGCCCTCCCGACCTCGTCGCGCATACCGACACCATCGACGCCCCGAACCCGACCCATTCTCCAGGTGTGTTTTTGTTTTAATTTTCTGTTAATTGGGAGTTAGGGTTTAGTTCTAGCAATTATTTAAATATGAGAGGGTTTAACAATTATTTTTTGCAGAGGGATATTCATCAAATTTGACTAGTTAATTTTGCTCGTTAATATTTGGCTAGAATTGGTAGGATTAGTTTTTATTTTGGTGCAATAGGAATGAATAAATGTGGTTTGGGGGTTAGGGTTAGCCAATTATTTACAAATGATGAAAATTAATTAGGGCTGTAGCCATTATTGAGATTGATTAAGGTAATAAATTTTGATGTTGATTTATTCAGATATATACATTATTTGGCATATGATGGACTGTGTATTTTCAGTTCGAGTGAACTCCATTCCATTATTTGTTCTCTTTAATGGAGCCTCCGGCTCGGAGGTGAATGATTTGCCGGTGTCATGATGGAGGTTCTCGGAAAATCGCATGCTATCTAAGTCGTGAAATTTTGATGGAATGACTAAGGGAAATACACAGAGTTACTCAAAATTAAGAAGAAGAATATAACAATTAAGGTTTCTTCAACTGATCCTATAAATGAGAGTAGAAACTATTGCCGTGGAGATTACCGGAAATGAGAATTGAATGACACTAAACAATAAAGTCGAGAGCAAGCGTCATTGAGTTGATTATATTGAGAAGTATCACCGATTCAGGAATTTGCCAAGTTTCACGACTCATAGGAGAGTTTTCTCGGATGCTTGACTTAAGAGTCAACGACGATGTCGATTGGTTTTATGACATCTCCAGTCAGAGGCCATGGTCTCAACGACACAACGTATTAAGTGAGTATTCTATCGGTGGAACGTCAACTATATATTAAGCGACGCATTCATGTTCATGTACGGTTACCCCAGTCGGTAGCATTATAGAAGATGAAGCAGATGATGATCAGATCATTTTGAAAAGATGGCAGTCAAACTTGTTGGATAGCATGCATGTGCAGGCGAATAGATGATGACGCCCGTGGCATGGAGCAATTTAACTTAACAAATGAATAATGTGGAAGCCTGAAGATCCGTTGCCCGACGGTTTCATACGATGGAGGGATTGGATAAATACTTCTCAAGGCTGGATTAGGTTGATGTGCGGACCAATTTACAACGCGAACCTGAGGACTCATTTAAAAAGGGATCTATTCTCGCAGAACAAGAGGCACTGCATTTTTGCATATCGAGAATGCGTCCATCAAGAATCGGGTCAAATTCAAAGCCGTAAAAACTAAATGCAAGCAAAACTACAATGTGAAATGCTCTTTAACGATAAGAATGAAGTAGAGAATGCAACATGAGCAAGAATGGAAAATAAAAAATGTCTGGTTCTAAAATGCCGCTGTGAGCAAAATCATCAACTGGGCAATTTGTACATATGTAGATAATTGCGGCTTCCATACATGTTGTCAACCCGCTTGGTGGATGGTCGATGATGATATTCTGATCTTCTTCTATATAGGTAAGCTAATTATGGCCTGAAGTTAAGAGCTGAACTTGATCTGAACTGCAAGTCAGATATTTCAAGAAGGGTATATGAGCATGCGAGGGGATAAATAAGTCTAAATATAAAGGGCATATGATGCAAGGAAGAAAGCGTTGGTCTAAATTTTTGGAGATTGGGAAAAATCATATGAAATTACGTCCACAGTATCGTTGAAGCTATCAAAACCGAAATAATCCGCCGTACTGAATTACAAATATTATCCGAAGAGATTGCACCCGGGTATGAGAGGTTCACATCGCGTGTTTGGGCATTGGATGTCGCTATTAAGGGCTTCACTTTTGTCGGGTCCGTATGAGCATTGCTGGTACAAGAACACACATGTATACTGGAAAGTACAAAGGCTGTGCTTCTTGTAGCGACGGTGTAGATGCAAATGCGGTTATTCTCTGCTAGCATTGCCAGTCGTGCGACGTGTGAGGATACGTCTAGTTGGAAGTGGTTTTGAACTTATATACAAGTGGTCTTCCAATGTCCTGTGCGCCAGAATAATTAACTTATTTTCGGATAGGATGAAAGGAATTAATAAGGGCCGTTACATGAGGGTTTATAGTGGCACCACATACCAATCGATATTGTTTAGGCATATAAAGCAGATAATTTTCAAGAAAAAACACAGGTGAGATAATTTGCAGAATCTTTTGTGGCAAGCCGGTGTGCGACCAGACACATTAGTGTCAATGAACATCGCAGGCAGAAAATCAAGGTCTTTGTCAATTAGATGCATCATAATGGATTGAAGAAATAACTTGAAGCCTCGCAATTCGAGCATCGTGGGCATTATGTAAGGATATGAGGGTGTGCGGTTTTTGCATTGTGAGACTAATTGCGTCCGAGCTTTAACGGCGTTCTTAAGGAGCACGAGCTATGCCAATTACAATGCTTTGCGTTGCGAGACATTCTATAGACTAAACGCATTCTTCAACAAAAAGGCGTGGTGGATGGCCATAGCTGCGCAACCAGTTACCTACCAAAAAAATGAGTCATTTTGCATAGAAGAATTGAGGCCAAGCAAGATCATGTAAATTACTGTTATTCAACGACAATACGAAATGGCAGGTACAAGATTGTGACGTATCTCCACCGTTAAACTATTTGCATGTTGATTGAACTGGCACATGTAACACTACCACAACTCCAAAAAATACCCTGTCACATGTGCTTGGCCGGCTTCTTCTAATCAGCGGAGGTGTCTAGAATTTCCAGATAATCCTGGTATTGCTCGCCTTGTATTCAACAGGCTCTACTATCAAAAGACATATATCAGTGAGAGTTTTTCATCGCCACCTGATGATAGTGGGATTGGCCCTGAATATAATGACCACATTATATTCCCACCTCAGTAACGGAGACACGACAGCGTCGACCCCGCTGTTGCGAATTAGTGGGAACGCATGGGATCAGGCGAGATAGGAGTCGTCAAGCACAAAAAATGTAGTCTTGCAAACAACCGGGACAATACTCGACCTCGTTGGCCATCTAGACACAAATAGATAGCAACTGAATTGCGTCTGTAATTATTATCAATGTTTTTTATTTTATATTACTTTAATAAAGAAACTGAATGTACTATATGATGATATTAACATGTGTATAATTATATGTGCAGGTTTTACACCATGGATCCTGGCGGTTAAGTGATGAGTCTTAGATGACGGCATGGCTCAGCATGTTCACATATGATATCCTTGTACAAGGTAATTCAGTTACTTTATAATTTGTAATATTTGCATTACCATAATATGCATTCTTCATACTATCATTGTCTACTACAGAGAGGTCCCGAGTATCTTATAGGTTGATCATTTAGCCTGCAGCCATAGCCAGTGGCGGTTAAGGACGGATGAGCGTATCATAGCAGCTGTGGGACAGGGCCGGCTTCTTGACTTGTTCAAAGCTTCGTTGGATAAAGCTCGATTTGGCCCTACTGATTGCGTTGAGGATAGATGGAGACCTGAGACCAATACTTTCCACTTCCGAATGGGTGAGGCTACCATTACTCTACAAGAATGTATCCGTGATACTCGGTCTCCGTATTAGATGGTCCGTGCATACCGGCACTGATAGTGATGTATGGCCTCGAATGTGAGGAGTTGTTAGGTGTAGCTCCAGAGACTATGC